GGGGAGGAGGCGGCGGTGGAGGGAGGACGACACTCACTTGTTCCTGCGGATCCACTCGATCAGGGCGCGCACCTCGGGCACGTCGTCCAGGGACGGGGGCTCACCGGTGCTGAACTGGTCCGGGAAACTGCGGTTGAGGTCGCGGCCACGGCTGTTGACGCGGCCGCTGGCCCCGGGAGGGTCGCTGTCGCTGAAGCCGCAGTCGCCCTCGTGGGCGCGCTCGAAGCCGTCGGGGTTGAGGCTGGGCAGCACGTACACGTCAGTGGTGTTGAGCAGGCGGACCAGGCGCAGGTCCCCGCGGCGGTAGCCAGCCGCCAGCTCGCGGGCCAGGTAGACGAGCACCTGGCGCGAGACGGTCTCGTCGCCGTGCATGTTGCCCACCAGCTTCACCTGCGGCCGGCCGGGCAGGAGCGGCCCCGCCGCGTCGGGCCCCGTATCGCCGTCAGAAGGCGGCGGCCCCAGGCCGGCCGTGAGGCGCAGCACCCACAGCGGCCGGCCCTCCACCGAGCTGCCGATGCTGAAGAGGCGGGCCAGGCCCGGGGGCCCCGCGGCCGCCGCCTCCCTCAGCGCCAAGCCCAGCTCCTCTTCGTGGTAGTAGCGGTCGAACTGGCCCTTGACCGCCTCGGAGCCCGCGCTCGTCGTCGTCGTCGTCGCCTCCGCCTTCTTGATGTGCGCTGCCCGGGCCGGGCTCCGCAGCAGCAACAGCAGACACAGCAGCAGCGAGACGCGCCCTGGCCGCCAGGGCGGCCGCGCGTCCCAGCCTCTCGCCATCTTCCAGCAGCGCTGCAAACCCGGACCCCGTTCCCTCGGCTCCGCGCTCCGGGAGGCCTTGGCCAGCCGGATCCCCTCCGCTCCTAGCAACCCCATCCCGCCCTCCAGGCCGCAGCCAATCGCGGGTGGCCCTGCTGCTGCGTCACGCCGAGGGGCGGGGCTGTCCTTAAAGCAGCCGATTCCCTCTGGGCGTGCCTTCCTCCTCTCGGGAAGAGTTTGGTTGCTCTCTTCATCGGTCTAGGTTCCTG